TTTCCTTGGTTAGGTTTATTCCTACGTATTTTAACAGACACTTATTTTTTATAATGATCTTTGATTCTATTTAGGCAAGTGTCTTAAAACCTTTTTTTGACTTTTTGATTATTTTTGACAAACTTAACAGAATGAATTCTAACGGAAGTCTTTTTGACTTGGAAGAAACAAACATTGCACAGGATGTGTTAAATCTTGGCTTCTTTAACATGTTACATTACATGAGAAACATTGTCAAACAAGAAGTAATACTAAGCCTTCTTCATGTTGTATTTGTATATGTAGTAAGTATCCTAGAAACTATATGAAATTCCTAGAAATCTGGTATGTCCTGGTGGAATGTTACCGCCTGAAATTGCCACCCCCTGAAAGCCAAGTATCACGGAGCCCCCGGCTGACTTCCATGCAAGCAGCAACAGGATCTACAGAGATCGTGGCACATGTACATGAAGTCCATCCTGCTCCTGCAAACACTGGTCCCTCATTGCCAGGTCTTCGCCATCCTAATGCTCCTGTACCATGGCAAACAGTCCGCTCCTGAATCAGAGAAATTAAGATGGGTAAACAATGGCTGTAAACTACACCAACTGTCGGAGCTACGGGAAGCACAAGACAGCCATTTGGTTCTTCCCAGCTCACTGGCAAACCCCATTTTCCAATTTTTTCCATTCCTTCGCCCACCACTGTGGATTTAAGATGACTCAAATTATGAATAGCCATTGATGGGTAGACTTCTACAAAACTGCAAAAATAACATCCCACCTGTTAGTCCCACAATCCTGGAAAAACTACTTCCGTACCAGCGGCCTCAGGTCAACTCTCTCTGGATCCTTTGAACACCTGCTGCTAGACTTCATTCAACTGCCACTTAGAAATGGGGTTATCAATATGTTGTTGTTATTGTATGTTTGTTTCCTGGGTGGGTTGAAGTCTTCATTGTTGTAAAGCTGGTGCCCTCAACATGGCAAAGAAACTGTTAGAGATTGTGTTTCTCACCTGGCATCTGCCTTCCACAGTCTCCATGATGGAGGTGCCCACGTCACTGCGTTCGGCTTACTAACCTGAACAAAAAAGCCTTGCTCACTTGGGGTTACCACTGTCCCTATCACTCTTGATCTTGACCTTGATTCAGGAAGGTCAAGAGAACTAACAGGATCTAAAACTTAAAATTTCTAAACTTGCTGAAACTACTGGACTTTCTTGGCCTCAGGTATCACCTTTGGTCTTGCCAATTATTTGAAGTACCCACTCTGAGAAACGAACTCACTCCACATCTCCACACAAGATAGTCACCAGCAGACTGATGCTCTGGGAGGAGAGGGTCCCCCATCCACCAAGTTTACCATGAACTTGGTGAGACTGAATAAAGACAAGAGCAAGTGGGGGGGGGGGCGGTTAAAAGGGACTCATTCTCACCCAGCTTTATGCTCAAGGCAGGAGGCCGAGTGCGAGAGTCCTGTGCACCCAGCTGTGTACAAGCAGCAGAGACAGACCAGTTCCTCACGGAGAACCCCTGCTCCCCAGCATCGGTCTCCAATCTCTCCCAGCACCAGGGCTCCATGGCCTCCCCCCGCCAGCCCTGGTTTTCTCCTGGCTCTTCCAGTGCGCTTATCTCCTCTCTCTACTGCTCTTGTGCTCCACTTCCCAACCCCCAGCACAGGGAAGAACTCTGCAGCCAGGTCTCTATGGTGACTGGCTGACACCCAAGCACTTAGGTGCCAGGAACTGAGAAGAGGAGAGGAGAGGAGAGGAGAGAATAGGTGTTTCCTCTCCATCCCTCCCCTGGGCCAGCACCCTCCCCATGACTAACCATCCATTCCTTCCATCCCAGGTAAACATCCTGCTGCCCATAAATATGCAAAGCAGGCTCCTTGTGTACACAATGGTCGAGATTAAGGCCAGGTGAGTACCCTGGTCAGAAATTACCATTTTATTTTCAACAATCTTTGCTGTTCCCTATTGTCTCGTGCTAGTCAGCAAGTGTCTAATGTCTTATGTTCAAGCCTATCATCAAAACAGATTAAAGTCTTCCCAGATCCCAGTTCAAAGGATCCTGATGGTCATAGTCTAGAACCCAGTCACTGTATTCTGGGAACCCCATTAGAGGAAGACAGACAAGCCTTGGAAGGCACCTTCCCAAGGGCTCCTGATATTGACACTGCTGCAAAACTGAGAACAGTGCCCCTGGATCAACACTTCTGGGGAGGCTGAAACTCAGTTACTCAGGACACTGCGCAAGCCATTTGGCTAAGGGTAACTCCTTACTTTGACTAGTTTGGGTCTTGAGGACTATGGCTCCAAAGTACACTCAACATTGGGAATTATCCTGCCTGTCATCTCCCTGGCAAACTGTACCCTCTCAAAAGCTTTACATGCATGGACACGACTGCGAACTACCAAGCAGATAATCTCTCTGACACAGAATACTGGAGGAGAAGCAAAGAGAATCACTGATATAAAGACAGTGGGCCTGGAGTCAGGATCTGGGTATATCTCCAGGATTAAAACATGACCAAAACTTGAGAATGTCACACAGAGGGCCAGTAAAAGGCTGTGAGACCTACAGAGCAGCAGCTGAGAGCGGCACTAAGGCTGTAAATTTTGATCCACCTCTTGGTTGAGTCTGATCAAAACAAGGGAATTGTTAAAAAAAGAAACAAGTCCATCATAATGCATGATCAAAACCGAAAGTTTCTGTGATAACTGCCCTTGTACTGTTCACCATGTAACTTATTCACTATGCAAGAATTTGTTCTCCATGTAAGAACTTGTTCGTTGTGCTTCAGAAGATTTGAGACTGACGAGAATTAGGCTTGGGGTGGATTAATGATTGTGCATTGAGCATTGACTCCCCTATACAGAATTTTATTGTTGTTAACAACCATTTGATCAAAAAAAAAAAAAAGAAAGAAACAAGTCCAAATGCAGCCATTTGTCCCCCAAAACCAATAATTAATTACCAGTAAATATATGTTTCAACATATTCCAGGAACGTGACCTTTTAACAGTCAACCAGGAAATTCCTGGTCAGTACCACTAAGATCGTATCACACCGGTCCAGCCCCCCAAAAAAGATGAGGTCATCTGCATGACCCCCTGCTCTTCCTCCGGAGGGAGGGTGACCTTGCCTGAAACAATCCTTTTCTTTGCTAAAATCTTCTTGATCCACCCTCCTTCCTATAAAAACCTTCCACTTTGCACCGTTCCTTGGGGCCTCTCTCTGCTTGCTAGATTGGATGCTGCCCCCCGCATGAAGGGTTTAATGAAGCCAATGAGATCCTCTAATTTACTTGGTTGAGTTTTGTGTTTTAATAGTGGTGATGATGCCACAACTGTGAATAAAACACTCAAAAAGTCACGGTAGTGGCTGAGGACTAGCCAGTCAGGCGAGGACAGATCCCCAGGCCCTCCGTAAGCCTGCTGGTCCAAAACCAAGACTCAATCCCTGCCCTCACTCCCAGGCACCTGGATGGCATGGCGCATGGCACAGGCTCACGGCCATTGGCATGGAAGGTGCTTTCTCCACACCTGCCTCAAGCCCTCACAAGCAGCAGCTTCCCAGAGCCCGAGGCCGCCAATCCTGGCTGGCCATGGAAGGCAGAGACAGGAGACAAGCATCATGATTAGCTTTCTGAACAAGCTGACATATAAATAGTACAGTAAGAACGAGTAAGGAGGAAGCAGGCTTAAGACCCCATCTTAAGGCTAAGATTCTATTTTAAAAGCCAGAAAGTTAGGAGGTAAGATTCCTAACATCATATTCTTTGGTAAACAGACAATAACTCAACCCACCTTAAAGCAAGGCAAACAGTCTTAACTGATACATATTCCCAGAGGGAAGCCACCCACTATCCTGGGGAGGAACTGGATCAATAAATTTCTTGTGTTAAGTTTATTTTTCAGAACTAGCTGGAAGACCAATAACAGAGGAGAGGAGACACGGTGTCTCTCAGAGAAGAGCATCTTGAGGCCACTTGACAGGTCTACACCCCCTGGCCCTTGGTCACATTTCTGAAAAATGCTTAAAAGAGGGAACCCCCAGCCTTTCAGGGTGCCTGCTCTTTGAGGAGGTCTGCACTTTCCTTTAAGCGCATAACTTTAAGTAAAGCTTTCTCACTGCTCAACCTAATCGTGTTTTGTCTCTCTGCGCTTTTCCAGAGGTATCTTTGTTTCTTTGCTATTTCATTCTGTTTCTAAGTCTTCACTCTGTCTCCGCTTTACTCCTGATAAGTAGGGACGGGCTGCTGAGTTCAGATTTGCGCCTCCAAGTTCGCGTTGCCTGGGTGACCCAGACAGAACTACGGCTGCAGGAGCCTGCCTGAAAATCTCCCTTCTTTGGGAAGTTCTCAGAACACAAACTCACTCCATCCCATGCTCTGCGGCTCCCCAAATCCTGGGGTGGTGGGGGCTAGCCCCAACACTGTGCAGATCCAAGCAGATCCAAGCAGACCCGAGACACCAGGTGACCCTGGCTTCAGGAGCTGGCAAGGGAGACTTGCCTATGCTGAGCAGGTCAGCAGGCTCCCACTTCCTCCCCTCAGCACTTCCCTGCCCTCAGCTGCCTGCAAGGCCGCCATTCATTTCTACTCTCGCTCTTCCTTCCTTACCTATGCTCTTCCCCCCTGAGGATTCTTTCTCATTCAGAGTCAAGAACCCTCCCCTATCCAGGTTGAGGTTTCACCTGGGCACAGAGAGAGACACCCACCCCAGACGGAGCTGCCCAGCAACACTGGAAGCCTGCCTCCTCCAGCAAAGCCAGGTGGGGTTCAGCTGGTCCCTGGCAGAAAAGCACATCCAGTCTCCTGCTGATGAGCACGTGAGTGAGCACACCAATCCCATAAAACATGCAGTTCACCCAACACCCACCACTTACTGTCAGCCACTAACAATTTCCAATAAACCCTGAATCACACTGCCCAGGGCCCAGCTGGCCTCACACTCTGGACAGCAGGGATGGAGCCAGCATCACCGCAGGCACAGAACCGCTCCTGTAGTCCTACCTTGCAATGGCACAGGGTTGACCCTGCAGATCAGACCCGGTTCCAACGTCCTGGATGGCAGCCCAGCGGCTCTGCCTGGGCCCCACAGAGCTCCTGAGCCCCAGACACTGGCAGGCAGATGCCTGCCTGCCAAGCCCGTGGAAGCAAACAGCCCAAGCAAGCAGCTTCATCCCGCGGCGAGTGGGCCAGACTGTGCACCCTGGTCCCAGCCTGTGGCTAACAGTTCCAACTCCCTGCTCCCCAGCAGGCCTGGCCCTCCCAGAGCTCCCCCTCCAGGAATGCAGGTCCCCCTCTCCTCCCCAACAGCCGCAGTGAGGCTGGCCAGTCTGCCTCGGCTGTGCTCACAGGATGCCCCTCTGCAAGCCAGTGATGCAAGGAATTGATGACTCGGCCTTAAGTCACAGAGCCTGGCTCTCTCCTGAGCAAATGAGAGAGGAGAGCAGGCGCAGGCCAGCGCCAGTCTATGGGACAGGAGATGGGCGGGGCTGTGAGCAACACCAGTCAGGACGCCTCTAACACCTACCAGCAGCGGGCCTGCGGGCCTGACCAAGCCTCTGAGCAGGGCCAGGAGGGCTGGGAGGCTGCCAACTAGCGCACAGGTCTCAAGGACAAAGGAGGCAGGAAGACAGGTCCCACACCGGAAGGCTGCCACCCCTATTTCAGAGGGCACTCAGCGCCGTGGAGAGCTGAGAAGATGCAGGTCCATGCCCACCCTACCCCCTGACAAGATTCAGAGGCAGTAGGTCTGGAGTGGGGACTCAGGGGCCTGCTTTTCTTTTTATTCTTTTTTGTGGAAAACATCAAACGTTTACAAGAATAGAGAGAAGAAGGAAACGAATGAATCCCCAAGTCCCCACCAAACAGCTCAAAACATCAACTCTGGCTCCCCTCGGCTCCCCCCACCCCACACCAGATGACTCTGAAACACATCTCAGACTTCACAGCTTGGCACCTGTCGCTATCCCAGCATTCCCTCTAAATGACAGATCCCTCCGCCCTTAGAAACAGAACCACAGAACATTATCCCACCTAAATAAAACACAGATTCCTTAGTATCATTAAATATCAAGTCAGTGTCTTCCATTAAGTCCTAATGCTTTGAAATCTGCATTTGTGACCAGTACTCATAACCACTGGAAGTCGGGAAGAACCGTGTTCATGCGCCGTGACGACACAGCCTGTGCAGCCCCTGGAGTGCATGGGGAAGAGGGCCGCAGCGCAGCACACCCCCGAGGGGCGCTCCTAGCACTGGGTGTGCACAGCCCCGGCTCCAGGGCGTCTGGAAGAGGAGGAACTGTAGTGCCAGAAAGCACACCATGTGCCAGGGGCCAGGGCTGGCAGGGAACTTCTGGGGTGATGCAAACACTCAATGTCACAATCATGTGACCATGACACCAGTGCACACCTTCTCAACACTCAGCGTGCTGTACATTTAAACAGGTGCATGCTGCTGCATGTATGTTATGCCCAATAAGTTTTCTTAAAAAACATAACTACCATACAATTAACTCAACCTTAAAAAAAATTCCTTAGTGCATTAACTCTATCAAAGAACTAGTTACATTTCCCAAAGCATCTCATGAACATTTTTAAATCGACACTTTTTTTGTTGATTTTGCACTGAAGTGCAACTTGCATGCAGAACATCTGAATTTATAAAACCTTCCCAGTTTTTCAGATGTAGATAATCCTTGGGTAGAGTGCACACATAATTAATCCTTCCACAAGATACCTCTGAGAGTGAAAGAAAGTGACCTAGAGGCACACAGTGTGACCACCCCCCACCGTGGGGCCCACTCAGGCCAACCCCGCAGGAGTCAGCAACCTCAAGCCGGACTGCATGTGGGAGCTGGGCATCTGTGCAGCCAGGTTGGGAGCAGTGCCAGGCTGCCTGGCCCACTGACGGGCAAGCACAGCCACCCCAGCCATGGGCTCCTTGGGCTGCAAGGACGCACTTTCACCCAGGGCCACTGCATTTGAGCGGGAGGGCAGCCAGCACTATGCATCATTTTATGGAATGTAACCGTGGGTGAAATTGTAACATTTCTAGAATATTTCACCTGACTTTAGTGCATTTGCATATCCTCAGGGGTGGAGAGAAGTTCATCTCCATGTCAGTGGGTAATTACCTGGGCAAGGAGGGCTTATCTGTACCCAGAGAGGTGAGGGGAGGGCCGGTTTTCTTCTGCTGGAGCAGGAAGGAGAGAGGAGGCCCAGGACTGCATCTTTTGAGCAATAAACGATTTTAAACTTTATTTCTCCCTTTGATGTCGGTTTTTAGAGGTATTTTCCCCCGGGATTTCCCCTCCCCGACTTATAGTAACAGAATACTAACTCCGGGTGTGGTTTCAGGAAATCAGATTCTATTTTCATTAATTCCCGGTAAACCCAAAGACAGAGTCCCAAGGGGAAACAATACCAACCCCACAATGTACGAAAATTCAGGTCCATTCCCCTACCATTTATTGGCTACTACATTCCAGGCACTTTTCTAGGTACTAAAGTACAGCTCAGAACAAAGCAATCCCTAACCTCAAGACACTTCTTAGATTCGCACCTAAATCTCAGCAATCAACAGGAACCCTTAGACCTCAGACAACTCCCTACAAACAGAAGATGCCAAGGTCATCTGCCCTGGGCAATGTCCACACCGAGGCCCAACTGCATGAGCGGCCGAGAGCTGACTACAGTCTCCAGAGAGCTTCCAAGCTTCGCTTAGCAAACTGTCCCCCCCACAGAGGCCTGCCATAAATTGGATTTTTAAATTCCTCCATATATAGCACTGTCCAAACAGGCAGCCACCAATCAGAGGAGGCTATCTATATTTACATTTAGATAAATTTAAATGAATGCAAAGAAAAATTCAGGTCCTCCATACCTGGCCATATTTCAAGCACCCAACGGCCACTTGTGGCTAGTGGCTCCCGTACTGGACAGCGCTGACATGGAACATCTCCTTCACTGAAGAAAGTTCTAGAGGGCAGTGCTGCTCCAAACATCACTGCCCCCAGCAACCTGTTACATGCCATGTCCTTCCACTTGGATTGCGACAGACACTGAGGGTTTCTCTAGGGGCCCACACTGATGCCATGATTAGGCCTCACAACCCTCACCAAGCTTTGGTAAGCAGGGGGAAGAACCGCAACAGAGACACCTGGCAGGGCATAATCCACCAGCCGAGGTACAAGGCACAACCTCGGCCAAGTCTCTTACCTCTGAGAGCCTCATTTTCCCTATCTGTAAAATGACAGAGCCAGGCTAGGGGCCTTTAAGTCCAACATGGAAAATCTATTCACTAAACACTAATTAACATTACTCAAAATAAATCAAAGGAAAAACACTCTTCTGAGACGTTAAATGCTGTCCTTGGAACCTGCACTTGAAGGGGAGGATGGGAACAACGCCCCACAGTGGCCTGGCTGCCCAGTGTGGAGGTTAACAGTGCCCTTTGTGAGCTTAGGTTTATAGCTGCCTAGCACTGTGTCAAGGTTTTAATCCTCACAGCCAACCTGAGATGAGCAGTATGACTATATCCAACTCACAGATAAGAGAATGGAGGCCCAGCAAGGTTAAGGAACATGCTTAAAGCCACACACTGGCAAGAGGCAGCACTGGGATTCGAACTCAGGCCCCTCAGCCTTCTCAGCCTGCATCCCACTTTGCAGACAAAAAGAGCTTCTATTTCCTTACGAGGTGCCAGCCATTCTGCCCAGCACTAGATACACTTCCTTGAACGCTCAGAACAACCCATGATAAAATGGGGACCCGGAAGGTGAGGCAGCTTCCAAAGGGCCAGGTGGACTTCACACACAGGCCTGGGGCTGCAGAAATGCTTAGCAACCGCCCCCAGCCTTTAGACTCCCCATCTGCTCAACACCTCCTTCCAAACCGAGGCAACATGCCCTCTCTTGTCCAGGATGTTGAGAGGTTTGGCATCTTCTCCCTGCTGGACTGTGAACACTCTAAGGCAGGGACTGAATTTTCTATATCAGTGTCCCTCCCTTTGCTCCTTGGAGGCATCCAGTGAAACCTGTTAAATTCATGGGCTTGGCTGTCCTAGGCCAGGAGGCTCTCCTTTCAATGCAGGGTGTGGGCTCGTATGTCCTTAAAGGGCTCCCCACCCTGGTATGTCCACTCTCCAGTGTTCTGGGGTTTCTCTGGGCCAAGGCCTTATGACCAGAGCCCTCCCCACCGTGCCCCTCATCCCTCTGGCAGTCATGCTGGACACCTGAGGCTCACCTCAGCCAGGCATCCTGCCCATATGTCCAGCGGCCACTCAGAAACAATATGCAATTGTAAATAAATATGCAAGAGGCAGCCTGTGCATGCCATGGGTAAGAAAAAGCTTACACACATATGCTTGTGCAAATAGGAAGTGTCTAACACTACCCAAAAATCTACTAACTGGTAGAAGCTGGCTTAATTAATGGTAATAGGCATAGACTGGCTATTCATCATCCTGATGGAAGTAAATAAAAGCCCAGCCTTCTCTGCATAGATTGCAATCAGTACCTTCTATTTTGGGGTGCACAGTGGAAAGAACACAGCTCTGGAGACAGAAGACCATGCAGGTGCTGCCCCTCGGGCTCTTGTGGCTGGATGACCTCACAGAGACACTAGGTCTCTGGGAACCTCAATTTCCTCCTCCAGTTTCCTTCCTCTCCTTACCATGGTGAGATCCCCACCACCCAGGGAAGTTGGGCAAACCAAGCGAGGTGAGAGAGGCACAAGTCTTTTGCAAAGGATGAACTTCAAGGTCACCTGGCCAAGACCAGGCTGCCTGGATCCAAGGACCTGATTCAAGGACCTAATTCCAGGCCCGGCTGTCTCCCAATATCAGTTACTTCTATTATTTCTGCTAGGACTGGGTGGGGCCAAGGCAGCCACACAGTCAAAAACAAAGCAAATAGAGCAAGGTACCCCCAAAGACTTCCTCTCCCTAGAAAGGTCAAAACTGACCTTGAGGTCAGGAAAGGGCTCTGACTAGGTCGGAAGTGGGGGTGGGGTCGGGGCACCTCACTGATGAGCAGTCACTGTACCCCAGCATTTGCCTCTTTCAGGAAGACGCAGGCCAACATCCACAGGAAACTAACCCGGCTTAGACCCAAGGTCCATGCGATGCCCACTCTCCGAATCAAACGAACCCACCCGCAGACAAGCAGCAGCTCTGGCTGGCAGTGGTACATCCAGCGAGGCAGGCCTCCTGCAGGCCCAGCGCCTGTGCGCCCGCCCAGACTTCCTGCCCTTGCTGAGCTCCTGCTCAAATGCCAGGGCGCCTGCTTGATTCTGCCCGAGAATGGAGAGTAACCTTGAGGCTGCCCTCGGGCTCCGTGGGAAACGGGCCAGCTCACGCTCTCCCGCGGCCTCCGAGGGCCGCTGATACCTAGCACCCGGGAGGAAGGCAAGGGCAGTCCGAGGAGCACAGCCCTTTGCCCCATTGTCTAAGATGCTTCCAAGGGAAGGGTATTTTCTGTTCCTCCGGTTAACACACGGCTCCCCACAAAACCCAGCGGCGCCCTGATGGGACTGCACATCCGCAGCCCCCACCCCCTCCGGCGCCCACCGATGGGCTCGCCCGGCGCCGCCCCACGTTTCGCGGAACCGGTGGGCGTTGCACGGCAGCGCGGGGAGCGACCCCAAATCCGGGGGCTCGGCGGGACCGGGGCGGGGGCTCCAGCGCGCTCGAGTTCCGGGCGGGCGGAGCAGTGAGGGGTGCGGGGGCTGCACACCGAACGCCGCCCGGGGCGGTGCCGCGCCGATTCCTCGCGCAAACGGCCTGCACGGGAAGCCGCCGGCTCTGCAGCACCCAGGTGCGCCCGGGCCGCGGTTGGCGAGCGGACAACGCCGACCGGGGCGTGGAGGGCGCGGCGGCGCAGGGCCGGGCGGGGACTCGGAGGCCGCGCCGCCGCACGCGCCCCTCTTACCGGCAGATCTGGATGGCAGACGGCGTCTCGGCAGCGGGGCCCGACATGCTGGCGGCGGCGGCTGGCGGCAGGAGAGCGTAGGTGTCCGGCAGGCCTGGCGCTGAATGAATGAGCCCGGGCGGCGCCATGGAAGGGGAGGGAGGAGGCGTGGCCATGGCGCTAACGGGGCGGGCCCTGATCACTAACAGGGAATCGAACACGGCCTTCTGCCAAGGCCCCGCCCCTTGTGCCCGCCCTCGTCCCGCCGGCACGCCTTAGGGGCTCCGCCGGCGTCGGGTTCTGGCAGCGGCGGGGCTCCGCTTCCAGAAGGTTCGGTGACGGTTGGGCCGCGGTTGGGCGGCGCTGGCGCGGGGAGGCCGTGCCCGCAGCGTAGACCAGCCCTGCCCCTCGCGGCGCGTGTCGGTGCGGGCGGCGGTGTGTGGGGACCATACAGCTGGCGTGCGCCGAGGCCTGCAGGGCCGCTTGCGCGCCGGGAGGGAAACCCAAGCCGTTTCTCGTAGGCGAGCGCTCGGGACCCGGCGGCCGCGTGTGCACGTGGGAGCACAGAGCCGGGAGCCGCAGCCACCCACCGCTGCCCGGTGGGATCTGCCTGCACACGCGGCACACCGCCTCGGTCGCTACAGACAGACTTACCGGAAGCGCCGAGCTTTTGCTGGGGCGCGCGTCCTGCCAGGAGGGGCCCCAGAGATGCCGGTTTGTTGTGTTGCACACCACATGCCCTGCAGTGGCGTCCAGGCCAAGTCGGGCTCAAAAGCCGCCCCAGAAAAACCCACAGAGGGGGGAAAAGTGATCACCTTTATGTGCCGGAATTAGAGCGCTTTGTACTCCATGTGAGATTTGACTTTGTCCAAATTTTTTACCATAAACAAATTGCTTTTGTAGACGGGTCTTTTTTTTTTAATCAAATAAACCCCACAGAACTCAAGCTCTGGTGCAATCTGAAAACCATTTCTAGTAAACTGAATGGCTCTGAACTTGCCTCGCCGGTCATCCTGGGTCACTAGACCGCGGAGGCAGCCCGCTCATGTCTGGAAGTCCCAGAAACAGAAGGGACTACCCAGAACATGTCTCTCTATGATTTCGAGATTATCATACCAAAAATTTCATTTCCTGGCATGAATTAAATAGCTCAAGGGTCCCCAAGCCTATTGAACCACTACCTTTTCCCAATGTGGGTCCTGAAACAGGGCCCAGGAGCGACAGCTTTGGAGCCTCAAGGCAGTTTCCCTATTCCTCAAATGAGGGTAATAATATATACTCACCTTCCTGACCTTTGGGAGGTATAAAAGAGGTAATGAATTTAAGGGGCTTAGCACAGTTGGGGTCTTTATTCCTCTCTGTTCTCACCTTCCTTGCTCAAAACATTCTCTAAACAGCCCTTCCCACACAGTCACTGAGGCCCTGCTTTGCTTGATGGCTGGGCACATCGCTGAAAGTTGGGAGATATTTTTCGTTCTTTAAAAAGCTCAAAATCTGATTGGGAGACAAATCCTGGACACAAAAGGCCTGGCTCCATCCACATGCTGGAGTAAATTCCTAAACTGGGTGTAAGTCTGAGGAGAGTAAATCCCGGGGCAAAACACCTCTAAAAATTGAAATCAGTCAAAGGGAGAAATAAAGTTTAAAATCCGTTTATTGCTTACAAACTGCAGTCCAGTGCCGTTTCTGTCCCCTGCTCTGGAAGAAGTAGGCAAGTCGGCAAGCCCTTCCCCTTAACCGCTCAGGTTCAGACACGCCCTCGGTCGCCCAGGTAATTACCTATGACATGGAGATTAACTTCTCTCCTCCCCTGAGGATATGCAAATGCACCAAAGCCAGGTGAGATACTCTGGAAATGTTACAATTTTACCCACATGGGAACGGGCTGAATGGTTCAAAATTAAATAGCCTGGTCCTTCCCAGAGGGGGTAAAAGTGATCTGGAGCAACATTTAAACCTTTGGAAAAGGAACAACAATTGCTGGCCAGGATGCAGAGAAAGGGGAACCCTCCTACACTGCTGGTGGGAATGCAAACTAGTTCAACCATTGTGAAAAGCAGTATGGAGGTTCCTCAAAAAGCTCAAAATAGAAATACCGTTTGACCCAGGAATTCCACTCCTAGGAATTTACCCAAACAAAACAACTTCTCAGATTCAAAAAGACATATGCACCCCTATGTTTATCGCAACACTATTTACAATAGTCAAGAAATGGAAGCAACCTAAGTGTCTATCAGTAGATGAATGGATAAAGATGTGGTACATGTACACAATGGAATATTACTCAGCCATAAAAAGAAAACAAATCCTACCATTTGTAACAACATGGAAACATGAATGGAGCTAGAAGGTATTATGCTCAGTGAAATAAGCCAGGCAGAGAAAGACAAGCATGAAATGATTTCACTCATGTGTAGAGTATAAGAACAAAGAAAAAACTGAAGGAACAAAACAGCAGCAGACTCACAGAACCCAAGAATGGACTAACAGTTACCAAAGGGAAAAGGACTCAGGAGGATGAGTGGGTGGCCAGGGAGGGAGAAGGGGAATAAGGGGCATTCCGATTAGCACACATAACATAGTGGGGGGCCACGGGGAAGGCAGTATAGCCCATAGAAGACAAGTAGTGACTCTGTAGCATCTTACTACGCTGATGGACAGTGACTCTAATGGGGTGGGTGGTGGGGACTTGATAATGGGGGGAATCTAGTGAGCACAATGTTGCTCATGTGATTTTATATTAATGATACCAAAAAGAAAATCCAGAAAAAAAACGGACATGGCTACCCTTCGGCCCAAGTCAGCATCTGTTAACAGCCTCCATGTACAGCACCAAGGGCAGCAGAGGGAGCCTGGGAAGGTCACAGCTTAGCCCTGACAGTCCGTGTCTTGGGTTCTGAGGAGTGACAAGGTGCTCCGAGATTGCCCGTGGGTGTGATTGCCACTTGTTTATGACGTTGCCCTGGTTTCAAGGATGGCAACAGGGTGGGGGTGGCCAATCCTTTAGCAAAACACTGAGAGTCACTTCTACTGTGATGATGTGTTTACACTGACCTCACCTTCCCACTGTAAGTCATTCTACTTTCTCCTCAAGCTGCTGGGCCATTTCTATCCCTCTCAGCAAAATTTCCAAGAACAGTTTACACAGACACCCTCTCTCCTCTTCCTCTGTCCCATTCTCTTTTGAACTCATTCCTTTCTCATTTTTGTCTCTACCCCTCAATTTTTCAAGGTCGCTAATTCCCTCCAAGTTGCTAAATCTAATAATCTATTGCCAGAAGTCATTTTACTTGACCTCTCAGCAGCGTTGGGCAGACATGACCCCTCCCCTCTCAAAATTCTTACTCCCCTGCTTCCAAGACACCAGGCTTGTATTTCCCTGGCCACTCTTCTCAGCCTGCTCTGAGAGTTCTGCCTTCTTCCTTCCTCTCAGGACTCTGGAGAAGGCTGAATGGTGCTGGAATCAAGGTCTCGTCCGTCCTGTCTCTTGACCCTGAGTCCCATCTATTCAACAGCGGCCACGCAGTCCTGGCCCAGACCTGTGCCCTGAATTCCACACGTACGTGTTCTCCTGCCAACCCCATCACTGCAGCTACACAGCAGGCATCCCACACTCCCCAAGAACTTGTTCCTCATGGTTGGCTCCATCTCAGGAACTACAACCCATTCCTTACAATTATTCAAGCTGATAACAGAGGAACCACCCTTGACTCCCTTGTTTGTGTCACACACTTCATCCAGCCCATCGACGAATGCATTCAGAGTAAGTGCAGACTTCATTCCTTTCTCCCTGAAACAGTCAAGAATGTGCCCACACCTACTCCCGGATGTCTGTCCTCATCCACCACTATCCCTCTTGCCCACTGAGCGCCCCCCACTCCAACCCCTCTGACAGCCCGGGAGTGCACCGGCCGAGCTTCCTCAGTGGTCAGCCCAAGCTTCCTCAGGCCTTTACTCAACACCACCTTCCAGGCTGTCCTGTACTATAAGTGCGTTTCCTCAATGCTTCTCTCCTCACTCTTGGTTTATTTTTCTCCTTAGCACTTAATATTAGGTGACACAAATCTTACTCTATTTATTATGTCTCCTCAATTCGACTGTGTCTTCAATGGGGGCAAGAGTCCTTTATTCTTTTGTTACTGTTGTGTCCCAAGCTCATAGAATAGTGTCTAGCACATAGTAGGTGTTCGGTAACCATTGTGTGAATGATTGAACCAATGGAGGTTTACTGACAGCAATATATTTAACAGCAGCAGATATTTAATTCTTTATGTTTAATTTGTACACTCTCTGGACTGGAAATATTATCCACAAATTGTGATAAAAAAAGTTAAATATTTTATTTAGATAATTTCTTTAAATATTTATGGAAAAATACTTAAGAAACTGTTGACAGTGGTAACCTTTTGGGGGAAAGGACTAGGGGGTAAGGCTTTTACTTTTCATTTACATATTTTTGTATTGTTGCCACCCAACCACTCATCTACTTTATTATTATTTCACATCAACATGGAGTATTGGATATGAAGAAACAAGAATTCATATGCTGATGGTGGGAATATAAATTGGTGCAATCTCTTTGGATAATAATTGAAATAATTACTAAAAGTGAAAATAGCCATATGCTTTGACCCAGCAATTCCATACATATCCTATATGTTGAGCATGAGTGCATCCAGATGTGCAAGCCAGCCTCAAAGAAAATTCAGAGCAACTCTGTGATCACCCCGAACTGGAAATAACTCAATGCCTACCCACTCTGGACCGGATCAATAACTCAATGCCTACCCACTCTGGACCAGATCGGTAAATTGCAGTGTACTCATCAGTGGAATACCAAATCACAGGAAAACCAATAAACTTCAGTCACACACTCAAGGAACAATCAGTGTTGAGGACAAAAAGGAAGAGCCTAAAGAATATACATAGTATGCCAAGCATGCCAAGCATGCCAAGAGCTGACACTCAGTTTGTGCCATTATCCAAGAGGTAGAAGCAAGCACTGGGGAGCATGTGGAGAGAAGGGACCCTTGTGCGCTGTTGGTGGGAGTGTAAATGGGTACAACCACTATGGAAAACAGTATGGCAACTCCTCCAGAAATTAGAAATACAACTACCCTAGGATCCATGGCCAGGTGTATATCCACAGGAAACCAAACTGTTATCTTGAAGAAACACCTGCACCCCCATGTTCACCGCAGCGTTATTCATAACAGCCAAGGTAGGACACAACCTAAGTGTCCATCAGCGGTTGAATGGATCAAGAAAATGTAGTACATGTATGCATGATGGAATATTATTCAGCCTTGAAGAGGAAGGCAATCCTGTCATTTGCAGCAGCATGGATGAACCTGGAGAGCATTTGCTAAATCAAATAGCCCATGCAGAGAAAGACAAACACTTCATGCTATCACTTATATGTGGAATCAAAAAAAAAATGTCGAGTTCATAGAAACAGAGTAGAAAAGGGGTTGCCAGGGCTGGAGGCTGGAGGAAATAGGGAGGGATTAAAAGGGTAAAAAAGTATAAACTTTCAGCTGTAAGATGGATATGGTCTGAGGATCTACTGTATAATATGGTGACTATAGTTGACAATACTGGATTGTGTAATTGAAATTTGCTATGAATAAATAACTCTGTTAGGAGAATATAAGTAGGTGGTAAGGCTATAAAGAAAAAGAGGAAATGATTGTCCCAAAAGTCAGGATAGTGGGTCCCTCTCACTGAGGGGCAGAGGATTGTCCTCTGGGAGGGCCACGTGAGCATAGGGAGGGTTAATGCTTCCTCTCTTGGCCTGCATGAGGGCATACAGGGTTATAATAATCTTTTTTACACTGCACATATAAGTGTTGCACATTTTTGTCTCTGTTATACATCACAATCTAAAAAAACGAGTGTATCT